ATCAGCACTGTCGCAAGCACATCATTGTTACATAGGAGGCTTGTTAGATCTGATCGAACTGATCCATATGATGAATGAAAATTAAAAGGAATGCTATAATAATTTTGCAAATACTACAATACACAGATTTGATCGAATTCAGGTTGAAGCATAGTGATTAAGACAGGCAGGTGGCATAGAGTTAATCAAACTTAATTGACGTACATTTTTTATATGAAGCAGAACATAAACTTATCTGCTCCAGACAGAGAAATCTATCTGTACATGAAGGAAGATCGGCACCGGAAGGAAGTTGTGCAAGCAGAGCCAAGTTATGATGAAGCTTTGCATTGTACCTGTGGTACTGTTTTGTTCCAGATCGTGGCCTATACGTCCTAGGATGCTAACTATGTAGAGTCCCCTTGAAAATAATACAAAATAATCCAATGAACTTTTTTTTGAAATATGCACATCATGTATGGAGTTTGCTACAATAAAACGGTCAAGATCATTTCTGGACCACAGATATATGTTACCATCTCAAAACTATTATCAAACAAACAATACAACAGTTATAATAGGGGATTGTAACTAAGCAATTTTTGGGGGGATTGAAAATAATTTAGATTTTATAATTAGATAGATAAAGTATTAAACTGACTTTGAGCAAAATTTCATTAGCCAAGCTTGCAACCTTGTCCCTGCATCTCTTGGCAGATAGCTCAAAGCAGAGACTGTATGATTCCCGGATGTATATATCTGATTTCCATCCACAAGGACAACAATCAAACATTCCTAGTTACCTGCATCTTATAAATGTCAAATTGTTTTAGCATTCTTGATTTCATCAAATTCATAGAAAAGGCAACTCCATCACATCATTACAACAGTACAAGATTAGTGAAAATGCACCAAGGAATCTTATTATACACATATCATAGTTTTGTTTTAACGTTAGGATTCCCGTCTAGGACACCAGCATCCAAGAACAAACTTCATTGGTGTGCAGGTTAGCAGAAGTGGGCTTCCGGTGTGCTATATGTGAAGTATGATGAAGAAACATTTAGATTTGTGAATCAAATATCCCGTTTTTGTTGTATTACAGCCTTCACATCTCCACGACCTAGAAAGCATGCTACAACAACAATGCTAGCTACACTATATGACTGTTGTCGGCCTGAATCCACAAAGATTGTCACACACAGGACTGTGCATCCTTCAAATTTAGTTGTACCTGTACCTATCAGGTTTACAGACAAAGGAAAAACAATGCTAACTGGTCGAAGCTACAAGAGACATCTCTAGAACCCACAGAAAAGATATCCACTACGCTAACAGTGCCCCAATCGCAATAAATTGCATAGCATAGCCTAGTGGAGGTAGAACACAAAGGGTGGCTGAACTGAACATAGACCAACAAAGGCGACATGTGCTCAGTCAGGCAAGTAAAGCAATCTCACCACCTGATGTTCCGTATAGATTTCCCAAGAGGGGACATCTCACTGTTCCCACAACATCAACGTGCACCTTGGCCTTGTTGTTGGTGGTGGCTCCTCTTCGCTTTGTAAACCGTGGAGATGGTCAATGATTTGACGATGCTCCCTTCCTCGAGAACTGCAAACCAAGAATAGGATTAGAAATCCCAAACCAATGAGTGAATTTCCTGCTTCTGAAGATCTGAAATTAATGATTGATTTTCTTGCTTCTGAAGATCCGAAATTTATGATTGATATGGCGTTCACCAAACCTGTATTCATGGCATACACATGGAGACCAAAGGACGCGTTGTTTACCTCATGGGCATTCCATCAAACACCTCCTGTGCGCTATCGATGTCAACATCGAGTCCGATGTTGGAGGTGGTGGAGGTGGGTGCTGCCGAGGCTGAATACTTGTGTAGATGGACGGGATGCCATGCCCGCTGCCCCCTTCGGCTTCGGGGAGCAATGAAGGCGCTCGCTTCCTCTGGTATGCCATCTAGCGAGGGACTGTAGTCTCTGCGTCGTGCAACGTCAATGCCCACGCCCACCTCCGGCTCCGAGCGGCCGCGCCTATGTCGGACGCGGATCAAGGCGGAGCGAGGACGACGGCGCGGGCGCGAACGGCGAGGTCAACGACGCGGGTCCATTCCTCCTCGACCGGCATGAACAACGCCACGACTCCTCGACGGCCAGCAGCTAGCTTTCCTCGGGGCTGGCATGAACACCACGACTCCTTCCCGACCAGCCAGCAGCTAGCGTTAGGGAGAAGTGGAGACATGCGACCTTGCGCGGAGGAGATAGGGTTAGGCCGGCCCAATTTCCCGCGGCGAGGACGATGACCGGCGAGGGCGAGGGCGAGGGCGGTGCTGGCGGCGCCATGGCGTGCGACGTCAGGTGCGAGGGATCTGCGACAGCGGTGCGAGGATGAGGGCTGGTGGCGGTGGCGGCGGCGCGGCCTGACGGCACTGGTCGACGCGGTTGCTGCGGTGCAGGGACGTCGCGTACGGTCGCGACGACACCGGTCGACGCGGTTGCGGCGGCGCAGGGACGTCGCGTACGGTGGCGTCGGAGACGTGCGGCGGCGCAGGGGCGGCGCGTGGTTTTCCACGAGGCTGAGGGATCGCACGATCGTACCGCGCGTGCAAGGGAAGGAATGAGCGCGCGCGTGATTGACAGCACATTTTTGTCGTAGGGGGAGGGGCGGACCGACCGAGCGACCATTATCGCACGAGAAGGTGGTGTTACGTTCTTTCTTTTTAGTCGCAGGCCATAGGCGCGAAAGACGAAATGAAAAAGGAAAAAGTCTGCTAAACCTTCATCTTTCATACGTGGTCTACTTCATCCCATAACTACAAAACCGTCTGTTTTATCCCCTGAACTTTCCAAAACCGTCTATTTTACCCTCGACGGTTTTTTTACAGCGGTTTCGCTACACTAACAGCGGGTTGCTACAGTAACGGTGGTTTGGTACGGTGCCGTTAGTTTGAATTTTCTTTTTTTTTTAAATTTATTTTCAGTGAATTTTTGAAAAATCATAGAAAAATTATAAAATGAAAAATCTAATTTTATTGGACTCCACATGAGTAGATCTACACAGTGAATATATAATACGGTATGCTTTAGTACAAATTTTTTTGTAGCTTTAGATTAATTGGAAAATCCAATTTTTTCTGTAATTAATTAGAATTTATCTATAACTAAGTTATACATAGTCCAATGAGTACGAAATTTTTACTATAGTTCAAGCATACAATAATTAGCGTACCATAAAATTTTCACCACAATTGAACCATAGAAGCTGCAGCTATGAATTATTCCAATTAATTACAGACAAAATTAGATTTTCCAATTAATCTAAGGCTACAGTAAAAAATTTGTACTAAAGCATACCGTATTATATATTCACTGTGTAGATCTACTCATGTGGAAGTCCAATAAAATTAGATTTTTTATTTTATGATTTTTCTATGATTTATTATGATTTTTCAAAAATTCACCGAAAATAAATAAAAAAAGAAAATTCAAACCCAACGTTACTGTAGCAAACCCGCTGTCAAAAACCCGCCGGAGGGTAAAATAGACGATTTTGGAAAGTTCAGGGAATAAAACAGACAGTTTTATAGTTGGGAGTAAAGTAGACCAAGTATGAAAGGTGGGGGGTTAAGTGAACTTTTTGCAAATGAAAAATGAAACGGTGGTTTGTTGTGTTCTGTCCGCCTCGCCTCGCCTCTCCCTCCGCTCTGCTCCTATGCAGCTCCGCTCGATCTCGCAGTTGTCCCAAAGAACGGGTCGTCGTCGTCCTTGCGCACGCAGTCCGTCTCCTCTCCTCTCTTCTACAGCAAAAAAAAAAAACCGCGTGATTCGCTCACATGCGGTGCGGACATGCATGCCTCGCTGGGTTTGGTTTGGTGGCCATTTTCGATCGCAGAAAACTACAACAGTAGAAAAGAAGAAATGGCATGTGCATGTGCGTATACGGTAGTAAAGTATAGTACACCCGAGGTAGACGACGTGATACGGATCGGTTGAGGTCTTGTCTTGAGGATGAGAACGCATGGGATCGACACCCTGCCTTGCTCTTTCTCTCATCTACTCCTACGAGCCAAACCAAAGGAAGCTAGCAGTATTGGTACTACCTTCCTCTCTAAAAGAATACAATTCTAACACAGCATCTTATTTTAGTACATTAAGTTTGACTAATTATAGATATAAAAGTATCTATATTTATCATACCAAATAAATATAATTAGATTAATTACGAAATGTATTTTTATAATAAATTAATTTAAAAATATAATTGTGAATATTATTCATTAAAAATTTAGTGAAACGTAAACCACTTCTCGTAGCACCTTGCAACCCATGGTACATTTTTTTTTTCGAACAGGTAGTACTAGAGTATCACTGCAACAGCAGACAGCAGCAATAGTAAGGAGGAGTAGATGACACGGAGACGGGAGGGGAGCGAGGGTGGTACATGTACAGACGCGTCGTACGTAGTGTACGCGGCTTCCTCCTCTTTCTCTTTCTTCCTTGTTTGGCAAACTAGCCGTCTGCTCCTACTACCCCCAATGGTCAGGTCAAGTCGTCGCCATTGCAACGGAGCGGGCCCATCACGCTCTCATGCACGTCAATCACCTCGCCGGCCCGGCCCGGCCCGGCATCCTTAGTCCATGTCCGTCCAGTGCCCAGCCTGGCCCGTAGGCGCCGTTGACTGACCAAGCACACACGGTCACGGTCTCTCCGCTCCCACCAACGCGGCCGCTTTCGCGCGAGAACGCCGAATCTTCCTCGGGACGGAGCCCGGCCACGTGGCCCACTCGCCATCCAGCTCGCCTCCCGTCGCCGTCCGGCCGCCCTCCCCTGATGAGTTCCCTCCCTCTCTATAAAACAGACCACACGGCCATCGCTGTCCCGCACCACTACACTCGCCAGCTCTCCATCTCTTCCTCTCTCTCTCACACACACACTCGTTCACAGCACGCGCACGCTAGCCACAGCCAGAGCCCGCAACCCAGGCCGACGCCGATCCCGACCGCGATGGGCAAGAAGAGCGGCCGCAGCAACAACGGCGGGGACGCCGCCGCCGCTCCCAAGGCGACGGCGTTCGTGCTGAAGGTGCCGATGCACTGCCGCTGCGACGGGTGCCGCCGCCGTGCAGGCGCTGCTCGCCGGCCTGCAGCAGCAGCCGGTGCACGCCCACCGCGGGCACCCGCTGCCCGCCGGCACCTGGAACGCGCTCCAGCACGGCGGGTACGGGCAGGCGGCGTACCCGTGGGTGCTGCAGCATCAGCAGGCGCCGCCGGAGCCGTACTTCGCCTCCTACCCCGCCGCGCCCTCCTGGGGAGCGTACGCCGCCTACCCGCACGGCGGCCTTGGTGGCGCCTACGGCGGCGGCGGCGGTTGGTTCGGGTACTGACTGACCGACCGGCGCGGGCGGAGGACCCACTTCCGGATCACAGCCGGACGGCGGGGAGCAGAGCAGGAGCAGGTGATGGAGCTTGACGTTGTAGGGAAGTAGTAGTGCTCGGTAAGTACGTTGTGTGAATAATGTGTCAGCGGTGGTGTCTGCGTAGTACTTATACTAGGATTAGTAGTAAGTACTTGTTAGCAAGAAGCTGATCTTTATCAGTAGATCAGTGATCACTGATTTCCTGCTGTTGCTACTTTCAGTTTTTGCTGTTACGAGCAGGAGCGAGCGGTGTGGACTGGGAAGCGTTTCGATCCTAGAACAAAAAATCAGACCTGGATTTTAGATGCCAAACAGGACGTCTTATAACATGGACTAATTATGAATGAATGAACTAATAAGACTAATTGGTAGCTAAAAATCTATAAGTATTGTATATTTAACCTATTATCACACAATGGAGTCCGGAGATCGATCCAAACGCGTCTAGATTGGTTATGTTTTGCTTCTCCATCCGCGTGTAGCTAACTAAACTAGTACTACTTGAGTGATATACTAGTGGCATTTGGTAACGTGAGAGGGTGGCTTAGGGGGTGTTTGGCACGGCTCCTTTTGAGGGGCTCCTCCGCAGGAGCCAGAGCTGTTTTGGAGGACGTGGCTCCTCCAAAACGGCTCCGGCTCATCTGTTTTTTATAAAAAATGATTCCTCCGAAAAAAATATTTGGCAGGACTCTCTGCAGGAGCCAGAGCCAAAGCCGGAGAGAAGACCTGCCAAACAACCTTACGATCGGGGCAACAGCAACGCGCAGTCCATTGGACTGGCGCCAAGAAAAGAATGGTACTGGTACTAGTGTACTATACTGGTGCAAAGTGGGGTGAAGCCGTGAAGGGTGAAGTGACACGGAAGCTGGGTGTAGCGCGTAACCACGCAAGGCAAAGGGGAAAAACGCCAAGCAAAGAGGCCAGTTTGTGTAGTCTTGAGTCTTCGGCAGCTGCCTGCTGCCTGCTGCCTGGTCCCCGATCTGGTGTCGTCTTGGTCTTGCATTGCTGGCAGTTGCTGGTGGTTGGAGTTTCGACCTCAGTGTCTTCAAAAAAAAAAGAGGGCTCAGTTCTAAAAAGAATGTACTTTTAGATCGACCTATTTAAATTTTGACTAAGTTTATAAAAAATAATGTCAACCACTACATATGATTCTAAATACGTACACAATAAATATGTATTCTAAGATGAACCTACTTAATGATAATTAGTTGATGATATCACACATATAGATAATTTTCTGTAAATATGCAATCAAATTGAAGAACTATTTAAGCTGCCTTTGTGTGTGTGAGGGCAAGCCAGTGAGCCCATACGACCCTAAAGGCCACCACACGAGCCATCTAAGGTCGTGTCCACATGTTACCGCCCGAGATGGTCTTGGGTCCACACCTCTGCGTTGTTGGGCTGCCGTTGGTGTCTCTAATAGAGATGGGATGGGAAGAAAGGTCCGCGAAGAGGAAAGGAAGAAGAGGGAATTGAAGTTGAGGATGGAGGGGAGTTGGCGGTGGAACAGGTAGTGGATGGAGTCAATGGCTTTAGTGAAAATAAAGGCACTTTATATATGGGGTGGACATGACATAGATGAGCTCTTAGTATACCTCCTAGTGATCGGTCTGGGCCGGGGGGGCCGACCCATACATGACCTGAGCAAAAGGTGGCCTAAGCATGTAAGGTGTCGAGCCGACCTGTATGTGACCAGAACACCAGGTCGTGGACTAACCCGTGGACCTTGGGTTGTCTGACCATCTATACCTGACACTCTGACAGTACCAATAGGATAATGAGTCCCCGTTTGGTAGCTTCTAAAGCAATTTTAGGGGTTGTTTTGTACAAAATAGGTATTTTTGTCAAACAACTTCACAAACATGCTCAAAAAGAGATTGGTGTGGGTTGAAGCCGAGAATAGTTGCTTCTCCTAGCTTCAACTTGGTTTGGTGGGCCCCTGCTGGATTTGCGAGAGCATGTTTCAAAAGAGATTCACATGTAGACCTGTTTTGCCAAATGGTTAACCAAAACAACTTCAGCTCCACCGATAAAGCTACTTGTGGAGCTAAAGTAAAAAAACCGCATTGGCCCCCTTTGGAACATAGGATATAGAAAACACGAGAATTGAGGCGACATGTTTATCCTATCCAACCCTGTAGTAATAGAAAACACATGAATTGAGATGAGATGGTCTTTGGATGACTTGCTTGCATAATGGTCATCTTTCCCACCAAACGCAACACACAAGGCAGCACAGATGGGAGAGCCAACAGCCCGTGCGCGAGGAGTCAGCTTTCCCGCGAGAAAAATTTACAAGAGGTCTGACCTGTTGCTTGGCTTACTTTCCTATGAAATATTATATGCCCTGTGAACTAAAAAGAGGTGTGTAGCAAAAATTTCTTAGGAATCTGAATCCTTTATTATAACTCCTTTGCCAATAATTCTTGGTTTAGGGGGCATTTACTATTAGTACTCCGTCTGTTCCAAATTATAAGTCGTTTTGATTTTTTTTTATACATCTATTTCGATATGCATCTCGATATAATTGATAATAGCAAAATGGATGAATAAAAAAAGTCAAAGCGATTTATAATTTAGAACAGAGGGAGTAAATAAAAGGGAAGTGGTGTCAAACATGTTGTGAATGTGCATCTCTCTCCGCTCGATCTCGTAGTTGTCCCAAAGAAAACCGCGTAGAAAAACCGCGTAGGAGGGAGTAAATAAACGGGTCGTCGCCGTCCTTGCGCACGCAGTCCGTCTCCTCTCCTCTCTTCTGCAAAAAAAAACCGCGTGATTCGCTCACATGCGATCGTAGAAAAGAAGAAATGGCATGTGCATGTGCGTATACGGGACATGCATGCCTCGCTGGGTTTGGTTTGGTGGCCATTTTCGATCGTAGAAAACTACGACAGTAGAAAAGAAGAAATGGCATGGGCATGTGCATGTGCGTATACGGTAGTAAAGTATAGTACACCCGAGGTAGACGACGTGATACGGATCGGTTGAGGTCTTGCCTTGCTCTTTTCTCTCGTCTACTCCTACAAGCCAAACCAAAGGAAGCTAGCAGTATTGGTACTACCCTTCTCCCAAAAGAATACAATTCTAGCACAGTGTCACATTTTAGTATGTTAAGTTTGACCAATTATAGATAAAAAAATATTCATATTTATGATACCAAATAAATATAATTAGATTACTTACAAAATATATTTTTATAATAAATTAATTTAAAGATATAATTGTGAAACCACTTTTTGTAGCATCTCGCAACCCATGGTTGCATTTTTTTTCCGGACAGGTAGGACTAGAGTATCACTGCAACAGCACACAGCAGCGGAGGAGTAGATGACACGGAGACGGGAGGTGAGCGAGGGTGCTACATGTACAGACGCGCTACGCGGCTTCCTCCTCTTTCTCTTTCTTCCTTGTTTGGCAAACTAGCCGTCTGCTCCTACTACCCCCGAATGGTCAGGTCAAGTCGTCGCCATTGCAACGGAGCGGACCCATCACGCTCTCATGCACATCAATCACCTCGCCGGCCCGGCCCGGCATCCGTAGTCCATGTCCGTCCAGTGCCCAGCCCGGCCCGTAGGCGCCGTTGACTGACCAAGCACACACGGTCACGGTCTCTCCGCTCCCACGGCGCGGCCGCTTGCGCGCGAGAACGCCGAATCTCTTCCTCTCTCTCTCACACACACACTCGTTCACAGCACGCGCACGCTAGCCACAGCCAGAGCCCGCAACCCAGGCCGACGCCGATCCCGACCGCGATGGGCAAGAAGAGCGGCCGCAGCAACAACGGCGGGGACGCCGCCGCCGCTCCCAAGGCGACGGCGTTCGTGCTGAAGGTGCCGATGCACTGCCGCTGCGACGGGTGCCGCCGCCGTGCAGGCGCTGCTCGCCGGCCTGCAGCAGCAGCCGGTGCACGCCCACCGCGGGCACCCGCTGCCCGCCGGCACCTGGAACGCGCTCCAGCACGGCGGGTACGGGCAGGCGGCGTACCCGTGGGTGCTGCAGCATCAGCAGGCGCCGCCGGAGCCGTACTTCGCCTCCTACCCCGCCGCGCCCTCCTGGGGAGCGTACGCCGCCTACCCGCACGGCGGCCTTGGTGGCGCCTACGGCGGCGGCGGCGGTTGGTTCGGGTACTGACTGACCGACCGGCGCGGGCGGAGGACCCACTGCCGGACGGCGGGGAGCAGAGCTGGAGCAGGTGATGGAGCTTTGACGTTGTAGGGAAGTAGTAGTGCTCGGTAAGTACGTTGTGTGAATAATGTGTCAGCGGTGGTGTCTGCGTAGTACTTATACTAGGATTAGTAGTAAGTACTTGTTAGCAAGAAGCTGATCTTTATCAGTAGATCACTGATTTCCTGCTGTTGCTACTTTCAGTTTCGGTAATGGTTGTGGTTGCATTTTGTGTGTTTTGTTGGACGATGTCACGATGATGAATTGATGAGTTCATTTTGTTAGCTCAGCTCAGCTAGGCTGGGCTCTCATCTCATCTCATGCATGCTGCTCTGTAACCGTAACTGCAATGTTTTGCACAACGCAAGTGTCAAGAGGAATGAAGTAACTCCCTCCCTCTGTTCTGTTGTTATATAAATATAAGGTCTGTCATATTCTTTGACCATCCATTTTCAGCTGATCCTTATAGTCTCATAAAATGTACAGCAGATTAGATAAAACACGGATGTATCTAACTTTTTTTTTTTTTGAAACCGATGATCGAAGATACTATACTGTAGGTTTGGTAAAACCAAAACGAACATCCTAGGAGTTCATTTTGTGCTGTATAAGATACTAGGTAGCATGCCTGTGCGTTGCTACGAGATATCTAAACTTTTGTACTAAAAACACGCGGATCGCACGATAAAATAACAACACTGTGAAATTAAATAACGGCGTTAAAGTGATATTTAATCCAAAAAGCAAAGTTTATAAAATTAACATAGTCATGGAGAGCATAGCGTCACAGGCTCACCAAC